GAGGAGATTGATGCCCTCCACAAAAATCAGACTTGGGAATTAGTGGATCCTCCAGAGGGGAAAGAACCCGTGGGGTGCAAATGGGTGTTCACAGTTAAGCATAAGGTAGATGGAACAGTTCAAAGGTACAAAGCAAGACTAGTAGCCAAAGGGTACACACAGGTATATGGAGTTGACTATGATGAGACTTTTGCTYCGGTGGCTAAGATGAACTCGATTAGGGTTCTCCTATCCTTAGCTGCTAACTTTGATTGGGATTTGCATCAACTGGACATAAAGAATGCCTTCCTTAATGGTGACTTAGAAGAAGAGGTATACATGGTTCAACCTCCTGGATTTTGTGCCAAGGGAAGTGAAAACAAGGTGTGCAAGCTACGGAAGTCTCTCTACGGCTTAAAACAGTCTCCTAGAGCCTGGTTCAGTAAGTTTCACATGGCAGTTCAAGAGATGGGGTTCCAATAGTGTCAGTCTGATCATACACTCTTTGTGAAGAGATGTCAGGAGCAGGTTGTCGTATTGATAGTGTATGTAGACAATATCATCATTACAGGGAGTTGGAGCTCAGAAATACAGAATTTGAAACAATTCCTTGCATCCAAATTTGAAGTGAAAGATCTAGGACWCCTAAAGTATTTCCTTGGGATCGAAGTTGCCCATTCAAAAAGGGGTATCTTTGTCTCTCAAAGGAAATACACCCTTGATCTATTACGGGATATAGGTAAATTACGTGCAAGGCCGGCAGATACTCCTATGGATGTGGACTACAAGCTAGGTGACTGTATTGGTGAACCTCTGAAAGATGTAAAGCAGTTCCAAAGGTTGGTGGGAAAGCTGATTTATCTATCCATGACCCGTCCAGATATTGCCTATTCAGTTGGGGTTCTGAGCCAGTTTATGCATTCTCCTAAGAAGCCACACATGGAGGCAGCAGAGAGAGTCCTTAGATACTTGAAGAAACATCCAAGAACATGCTTACTATTCAGTAAACACAATCACCTAAAGGTAGAAGTCTTTATAGATGCTGATTGGGCAAGAGTTGTGGATGATATAAAGTCCACTAGTGGGTATTGCACATATGTGGGAGGGAATCTGGTGACCTAGAAGAGCAAGAAGCAAAGTGTGGTAGCAAGATCAAGTGCAGAAGCTGAGTATAGAGCTATGGCACATGGGGTGGCTGAAGTCCTTTGGCTAAAGAACCTTCTAGGTGAGCTTGGAGTTGCTGTTCATAGTCCTATGTCTCTTTACCGTGACAACAAAGTTGCAGTAAACATCGCCAGCAACCCAGTCCTACATGAGAGGATCAAGCATATTGAGGTGGATAAGCACTTCATAAGGGAGAAACTAGAAAAAAGGGAAATTTGCATCCCTTATGTCAACTCCAAGGAACAACTTGCTGATGTCCTTACAAAAAAACTTCCGTGTTCACGGCACAATGAGTTATGTGACAAGCTAGGCATGATAGACATCTTCAGCCCAACTTGAGGGGGAGGGTTGTAAGGCTTAATTGTTCTTTATAACTGCTGTTAGTAGGACAGTTTCAGCGACTAGCCCTTTTTTTTCTTTCTTTTCTTTTTGTTCTTATCCTAGGATATGCCGACAGGGGCATATTTGTAATTTCATCTCTTTTATAAAGATTAATATAAATAGAAAATTAGCAGCAGCCAGTACTGATTTTTTCTCCTCTCATCCGTACCTCTCTCTCTCTCAATCACCACAAGCGACCACACTCGCCAAATCCAATTTATTCCATGTTCTGTTTTAGTTGTCAAAAGCAATGAATTTCCCAAGGCACTTCCCAATCTCCTGAAAAGTAAGAAAATTCCACATCCAAGGGAATGCCCACCACCCCAACCAAACTACACTTCTTTTCCCCAAATCACAAATTAACCTTGCCGTCAGGAACCACTGCCCCAAACGGAGGTCAACCTCTCTTGACTTTGTCTTTTCTGCTCTAAAACCCAATCCGCTTCTTGTTTGTTGTGAAACATGAACAGAAAAAGTCCACCATTAAGTCTTCTCACACCCATCACCCTTTCTTTTCCCCACTCCAGTACCACCCAGGCTTCGACAGTTCAACCCTCTCTGCATCCAACTCTCCCTGCGAACCTGCCAACTAAACCTGCTTGAAGGACTCTCATCCTCTCGTCCATCTTTTCCACCTTCCTTAATCAACTTAAACCACTGCAGACTTCATCCATCGCCTAGACGGGCAACACCTAGCTTTGCCTTGGCACCTTTCAATGGCACATCCCACAGGCTTACAAACAGAAACTTGATGGAATGATACGTTGAGCTTGTTTCATACACACCTGTTGCAAGCTGATTGCTTGCCCATCATAACACCCACGATGATGCACATAATGGTGACTCCAATGATGAGTTTTGTTTCCCTTCACTTCATGGCTGGATAATTGGAGTCGCCACCCATCATATGCTGCAAATTGGGAGCGATGGGCCTCACAGATTTTGAATTTGAAAACCATTTTTGAATCATGGTGACTACAAAGGTGTACGAAGGCAGGTCGGGGTAAGTTGAGGGAGAGAAAGGAAAGGGGTTAGTTTTCTGTTACTGATCAAAACAAAGGAAAGGGGTCAGCATAGGTATCCATTTCCCTTCCTTAACCCAGATAAAAGAAGAGCCACAGCGGTCACGGAGAAGCTAATGTCTGCCAGTAGTTAGAGATTGAGTAAACCACGGTTGAGGGAACTCCGCCCCTTCCTTCATCTCCATTCTGGTGCAGGGATCTGACCAAAAGGGTGAGAGAATACACTCCCGCCCCTTTTGATCAGAACCTCCACACTGTTACTAGGCAAAGCCAGAAGGAAGAGTGAGCTCCCACTTCTCGGTTAAGGCAGGGTGTGAACCACCTTTCGGCGTCCAAGAACTAAACACTCAACACATTAAAACGCAAAGAACTAAGACAAAGGAAAACAAACTCGAAACTGCTCTGAATCAAAACAGACTGAAATGCAATTTAAAATATCATTGAAAAAGACAGATGAATTATCACGAGGCAAATACATACGAGGTAAGACACGAGCAGACCAACCATTGGGATGAGATAGGAGGTCTACCGCTTGTAGCGTTCGAACGATGGAACCGATGCTGCTGAAGATTTAACCGTTCCTCGATTTGGACGATTTCCTGAGTAATCACTGGAATCGATGGAACAACGAACTGGTTTCTGCAAGCGGGTGAATCGCTTCAGCTCGCAAGTGACGTGAACTGGATTCCGGTTTCGTCGAATGTAAGGCCTTCAAGTCAGAAAATAGAAGGGGAAGATGGGTTCCACCTCAATTCACCTTCCGTCATTCTCTCTTCTTGGGTTCCCCCGTTGTCCGAACGAATGGGGAGTGAGACGTTTTTAGCATCAGGATGAAGGCATTTTATTCCCCATCTCAGTTAAGACTGCGTACGGTGTAAATGCCGGTTCGGTGCATTATTGCACCCCGGTCCTGATTTACATGCGTTTGGAAACGATATAAAAATACTCTTAGACTGCGTTTGAAAACTATGCAAATATGTAGAATGTAAAATGGTCTATATAAATTGTAAAGTTAAGTTAGTTTCGCACCGATAATTTTATTTTTTTTATCAAATAGATTTTTAGGTTTTAGATGTAATGGATGCAAACACAATTTTCAATAAAGCATACGTCTTTTTTATCAAAAGCCCATTTGAATACAAATTTACTTCTTATTATCAATATAAATATATATTAAAAAATGTGTTTTTTATCATTTATCAATGCATAAATGTAATATTATCAAATACAGGCAAAAATGAACCAGAGTACAAATTTACCCTAAATCAAGATTTATACTCCATTTGCATCACGAACTAATTGTGTCATGATTTGTAGTGTGTGTATATGCATTTACATTTTTTTTTCCTTTTTTGATATAAAGAGCATACGAGCACTACACAAAATGGGGAGTAGTGTCCAAAAGTCAACAAATCATATAAACGAAGGAAGGAGGAAGAGACAAAGAATTTAAAATTAAAAAAAAAAAAGTCGAAGGAGAAGATGGAACCTCATGAGCAAGCGAATCAGTTGCCAAATTTGCCTCTCGAAACACATGATAGTATGCTAACCCCTCTCAAACAAATCTCACATTTGAACGCAACTTGAAATTACATTCCTTAGCTTCCATGGAGTCCTCATCTTGTACTTGAGACATGATATGACCAACTTCGAATTGCCCTCAATGATGATTAGTTGATTCCTAAAATTTGAAGTCATAATATCGGCTTCCCAAGTATCCCACTTGGTTAATAGTGCAATAACCAAGCTTATAAGCTTTAGTGTCAAGAACTCAACCCAGATGATCATGAGCTATGTTTTCAAGCGAACACTTCCCTTCACTATTGCAAGACGTGTCAAAATTGATTTTAACGATGCCAAATTTTGGATATTTCCACATAATAGGTTTTCAAGTCTTCTCATTAAGCTCCACCACTGGGTTCTTCGACCCTTCAAATGTTCCAAAAACATATTAAGCGCCTTTTCCAAAAGAATTTGTGGAGGTACTATTACATTATCGAACATCTTTAGGTTCCTATAACTCCAAACAAGCCACAAAATAAAGGCAAAATTTTCTCTCACTATTGCTGATTATCTCCCCTTCTATTTCCTAACCTTGTCCACCAATCAATAAGAGAGTGGTCATTTATCATTGGACCCTCTAAGGTGGTATTGATTATCAACCAAATTTGTTTTGTATGAGGGCGGTCTTTCAAAATATGACAAACATCTTCCTCTTCACCATAAAAGTTACAAGATCCATCAATATTACATCCCCCTTTTCTTAATTGAGATTTTGTAGGAAGTTCATTGTTTAACATCAAATAAACAAAAGTTTTAGCTTTGGGGGACATTTTAGGTTCCATACCCTTGAAATCCAATTAAAGGAATCATTTTGACCTAATGTAGATGAACACTTTAGCAAATAGGCTGACTTATGGTGAAATCACCATTTGGATTACATCGCATGGCCGACTGCACATGGTGCCCCTATGGCGTGCCATGCTGTGAGTGGGTGTGCATGGACAACTGCATATGGTTCCCCCTATGGTGTGCCATGGTGCAAATGGATGTGTGTGGTCGACTGCACAAGGTGCACTTGTGTGTGCGTGCCATGGCGGGTTGAGTTTGTGTATGTTTGGGGGACATTTACAATGTTTACAAACATAGCCTAAAGCACTTATTTGAGTAGACACTTTTTTAGGTTAGAACCACAAAGTCCATTGAGCATTGCATTTGTGAGAAAGGTTGAATAAATGCTTATTCCATAAAATAAGCCCGTTTGAATTTGACTTCAGATATGCTACCAACACCATCCTAATAAGTCATTACAGTCACACGTTGGGAAGAGATCGGATTTGCTACCAACAATACATTGCCAAAATGTCCCAATTGGCAAATACATTGGGATGTTCCCAATGTGCAGTTGTAATGATTTGTTGGGACATAGTTGGGAGCATATTATTGGCCGATAGCAGATTCTTACCCCATTGGGAACATCTCTTCATGAATGACAAAGAAGATATTTTTATATATCTTTTGATGAAGGGCTACACAACAGGGGTAACCCATCCCACAACCTAGGTGCATGCGGGATTCTATCTCAAGTCTCCACTACAAATAGCAGGAGACCTTACCAACTAACTGGTTGGTACCTTGCAATGACAAAGGAGATAATGCACAATTGTTTGGGAGCATTCTATTGGTAGCAAATCCCTACCTTTTGAATTTAAGCATGTTTTTAATAAGTGTTTATTCAATTTTGGCCATGTAATTTTTAAAATACCTATGCTACCCTATTTGAAGGAAGCACTTTTTCACCAAATAATCATGAACACTTATTTAAGATAAACTCTCGTTAATAGGCACTTGTTTGTCTAATAAGCACTCTCAAGTGGGGGATTAAGATATGCATTGCACATTTTCAAGCACAAAAGGGAAATTTTCAATCACTCATCACTATCACAAAAGGAAGGTTTTCGATTACCTAGATTTCACTTGTCATAATTTTCATTCACAAAAGGAAAGTTTCACGATGTCCTCTTGGGCACTTAGCCATGCTAAGAAAATTTCATTTAACATATTATAGATCATTTTACAAAGTCCCCCTGGACACTTAACCACACAATTAATCAAGATGTTACTCTCTCATTAACACAACTACTGAACAAGAAACCCACAACTACAAACTAACAATATGATTAATAAATGTAACAATTTAAATTTGCAACCTGCTATTGGTTAGTGGTTCTACAGTTAAACAAATAAATACAAACTCATAATGCAAGTAACTATAGAAATTAAAAGTAGTTGAAAGTAAATAGACAACATGATGGTGTGTTCTTGAATAGCAATTGGAGAGAGAGGACCAACCACTAGAGGTAGCAGAAAGAAAGACTTGCTACAAAATGCTAACTAAGATTAAGACCAGTTATCCAAGTATATAATCAACTTAAGATTAACATAGTTGTTTTCTACCTAGAATCTCAATGACAGGTTAACTATCGAAAGTAATGCAGTTGAATAATAAATGTGCAATAAAAGTAACAATTGTAAAGAAGTAAATGCAAAGTAGTTAATGTAAAGTTAGTGTAGTTAGTAGGGTTAGTGATGTTAGTAGCTCATTAATTGCACTAAATGATCTTGTATCTTGCAAATCTACAAGAAGAAAAACAAATGACTACAAGATCTCAAGACCTCAAGTTATTGTGATTATGAGATGAAGTTAGCAAACAAAGAAATTAAACTACAACTTTAAAGAAAATAAACAAACACATAAGGCACACGAGACTTTTCCACTAACCAAATGGACTTCCCAGACAACAACCTAGCCAATATAACCAGTAAGACTTCATGGGTGCCTTTAATACCTAAAACCCGTTAAACTTCATGGATGCCAACCTAACTTGAACCAACAGGGCTTTCAGGTGCCTACAAGACCTTACAGTTGGGCTTAACAAAGGTGTCAGTAAGACCTTAATGGAGTTCAACAAGTTGAACACCTAGCTACCTGCTCAATGATATTACTTTCTTTAACTCAAAGAGTAGGTTTACAAGCAAGACAAACTTTTCAACAAGTAGATATTACAATACAAGGTCAAACTAACTTAGTTGTTAGAGTTCTCAACAAATGCTTGAAGAAACTCTCAATACATGGGTGAGACTGTAGTTAGACATGATGCTTTTATTGGTCCTACTCCTACATAGAGTGTATCTTGTGCTAAATTTGAAGTGATTTAATGAGTTCCTACTTTGGATGTGTTCAAAATATTGTGTATTCTCATAAATATTTTTCTGTGTGGTTCTAAAAGGAAATGTATAAAATTGGCACCTTGTTGATTTGATGGATAGGTTGCATACCAATTGGTTCTTAGCTAAATTAATCTAAGTATCACAAATTGGTCAACTACATAGCAAACCCAAAAAGGAACTTTCCAAAAAAGGGAAACCTTACTTGGGAACTTATAAATAGAGGTTTTCCGAAGGAGATTGGAACATTTTTAGCCTTTCTCATTAGGGTGAGCCTATATTCATCCCTTAACTTGCGAAAACCTCCTTCAAACTCTCTCTCTCTCTCTCTCTCGTTGGAATTTTAGAACTAGTGAACTATAGTGGTTTTGACCCCTTACTAGAGGGTACGTAGGTAGCCCTTCCAAGGGTCCTAACAACTCCTTTCCCCCTTTCTTCCTCCCCGTGCTTTAAATTGTCGTTCTCCTCAAACCTTTGGAGCTAGACCACCTTAGTGCCAAATCCCACAAACCTACACCTATATTGTGCCCAAGATCATTAAAAAGTCTAGAAAAGACAACATAATGGATAGTAAAGAAAATAGATGTCATGATATTCAATTATGATTTAAAATGAAGTGGTTTAGGTACGGTAGATGCCAAGAGGCATGAGAAGAATAGGCAATTATAACCACCAATTCAAAAGGCATTAATGGTATTAAATGGATGGATTCCTCACTAAGTTGTAGAGTGGGAGATTTCAATTTTAAAAGTGATAGGAGAGAGAGAGAGAGAGAAACGTGGTGGTCATATACAATGGGTGGTAAAGATGGAAAGTCTAAGAGATCTTTAGGTTCATTCTATGCTAAAGGATGAAGCCAATAAAGATTAATTGGATGCACAACCCGAGGAAAGGCTTTTCTAGTAAAATTCTTCATGGTGGAGTGATGCTCGTTATTTTCACTGGACATAAAAATTAATGCTACATTTATGGGAAAACCTTTGATAAATGGAGGGAACATATTACATCTTAGTAGTGGTTCAACCACTATTAGGGGAGCAAGTACATTCTCACAATTCAACATTTTATCGGAAAGAGAAAAGATAAGTAAAAGAAAGTTTTCTAAACCCAAGTGGGACCAAGGGTGCACATTCTTTGAATGATTACCTATGCCTACAAGATTGAATAAAAGAGATCTGAAATTATTGCATAACCTTGTCTAGGGGTGGATTCGATCCAAGTCGAATAGTATGAGGCTCGAGCTAAGCTTGCCATCGTAGTATGAGGCTCGAGTTCGAGTTTGAGCTCAGTTCAAGTTGGAACCTTGAGCTCGAGCTCGACTCGAGTAAAAGACTTGTAAGCTCGAGCTCGATTTAAGAAAAAATGTTTTCTAAAAATAAAAAATTATGTATAAAAAATATTTTTATTTGATATTTAAAAAATTAAGAATTATAATAATTAGTTATTATTATATATAAAATAAAAATATTATATACAATATTTTCTATAATTTTATATTATATATATGTAGCCTACCTCTTTTGCATCCTCAAGAAAACCTAAGGGGAGAAAGCAAAAAGGACTTCTCTGCAATTAAAATCATCCACTAGAGAATCCCACAAATCTAGGAAGTTCTCATTACGCTAATTATTGCACATGTATGCCCCCCATGTAAGTATCCAAAAAGATTAGAAAAGTCTTAAGTTGTGAGAGACTATTCTTGGCTCTCACCAAGGTTTAAAATTCCGCAATGTATTGGGCTGCATTGGCCGATGCATATTGTTCCAACACAAGCTTGATACACAAAACATGTAGAAACCATCTGTTGTGTTTCTTTTTGTTTGTATCGAACAGATGCAAGCCCATATCGAGCTGTTTTAGGTCTATATAGACTGATATAGGCCTTAATACAATACAAATAATTTGTTTTGGGCCCCTTCTCTCTTATTAATTTTGTTGATTCATACAAGGCCAAATTCTCTCATTAATTCCGCTAACTACTCCCATATTTAAGTCTAATTTCTCTCTCATGAATTACTTAATTACTCCTATAATTTAAGTTATAATTTTAAATTTGAATTTGAATTTTAGCATTAATTTGAATTTTTCTCTTATTAATTTCGTTAATTAATAATCCTCTCTCATTAACTTCGTTTTAGTAGTATAAAAAATACAAACTTTAGCAACAACAATTTTCCATTTGGTTTTGACGATCTTAAGTTCACCATTAGGCCACACCCATTTGTTTGCTATGGTTATTTGCTTTTCTCTTTAGCAATACAAACGTTTGCTTTTTCACATTTTAGTTATTCAATCATTTTCAATGGTAACTAATTGTGTCCCAATAACTCCACTTTATATAAACCATTAAATTATGGTTTTCACATTTAAACAACTTATTTATAATTAAATAAAATGTGTAATTATTGTTATTAATATATTTTTAGGATTTATTTGAATTTCTTATAAAGTTTATGCATATCTTTATTTTTCGTCCATATCCACATGTATCCCAATACATCTCTTAAAATTGTTTTTTCAAATACACTTTGTGTTTCTAATACTTTAAACCTTGGCTCTACTTATTTAGTTGTAGTTAGTTACAAATATAATCCAACTAGCATAGTTCTTTCATTGTACTTTAAAAATATTATGTGAAACTTTCTTATGAAAGAAATGGAGAGAGTCATGAGTTGTCCAATAACACATCAAGGGCATAAGAGGAGTAAAGTTAAACGTTATATATCCCAAGATGAACAAGCAAAGGAAGCTTGTTTCGGTCAAACAAACTAGATTTAGTAGATTTGCTTACATATGAATAATTATGAATCTATGCTATTTGATTACCTCTCTTTGTATTTGAAATTACTCAAATATTCTTGATTACTATCTATGAGAAAAATAGGGAATCCATCCCATGAGATCAAGGGCAAAAAAAGAAAGTTAATTCACAAACAAGCCAAGAGATGCTTGTTAGAGTTGAGCTACGAGAACTCAACATATTTCCAAAATCAATTGGCAAATATGACCTGGGCACTTTCTAACTAATCTGATGTATATCCTCTCATCATGGTATTATACGTATGTGTTTTGATGAAAGAGAGAAAGAATGATGCCATGGTTTAAAAGGCATCTATGAAATGGGGAACTTCAAAACTTAAACCCCTAAAGCATATGAATGGTCGATAAAGTCAACGCACTCCCTCGATAGAATAGGTAAAATGGACCCTAGCAGAGTGTATGATTGGTTCAATTTATATTTGACATATGATATGTGATTTGCTTCTCATTTGAGCTTAATAGTTTATATTATTATTCAGATGAGAATCTTTTCAATTGGTATAACTTATGACATGAATAATATAAGTATAGCATTTGCTAACATTTGTGCTTTAAATGGTTTGTGTGATTTATTTTTTAAAGAATAGAATTTGCTAACATTTGTATATGAATAATATAAGTATATTATTGCTTATGTTTTGATTGGTATGTTTTTGTGAATTACTCTTAAACTAAACTCTTATAAGACTTGTGTTAGTTTGGAATGTTCTCAACCATTAGATACACTTGGGGAGTTTATCCTTACAAGGTTGATATTAATGTGTTGTCGAATTGGTGGAATAGCTTGTTTCAATTGCTAGGGTTAGACCCCAAGCACAGTTAATGAATGTTTAGAACAAGCATTGAACTTGGATCAATTTTTAGTTATGACCTAGACATTGGAGACAAATTGGCAAAATTAGAAATTTGCACATAACCCCATACTTAATTTTGATACTACACTAGGTTTTGGATTGAACTGATTTTGATATGCTAATTAGCGAGATCCATCAATGGCCAAAATAACTAGGCATGTTGGAGTAGTTTAGGAAATTACCTGAGTGGGTGATCATAGTGATAGGATCAACCCCTTTATTAAAACAAAGTGAATATTAGGGTTTACACTCTCTTTGATGGAAACTTAAAACTGTCGATGGTGGATTTTAACTATTTAAAATCTGATTTGCAAAATGTATTTATATATTATATAATTTTCAAAAAAAGATTTACAAAAGGTTTTTAATCATGTGATTCATCCGAGCAAAGAGTGTGACACTACGTTTTATAGTCAGGGAAGAGGTCTCTTTGAGCAATGTTTTAAGGGCTGAGAGGTTAAGGACACGAAACCATTAGAGGGCTGATAACTTGATAAGATTTATCTTACATATGTCCATTATCATTGGATTTTCATAGGGTGGCTGAATCTAAGAATCACTTATGTTTAAGTGTTGGGCCCAAACTAAGATCAAGCTTATTAGCTCAAGGGTTCAGTGACCTTAGGTAGTAAATTCAGCTTGCACCTTTTCAGGGGTAGGATTGAACTTATGTGGGCTTGTGTAACACTTTTATGGGTCCTACATCACATAATGTTTAGGCTTAAGTGGCCATGCAACACCTAGATATGCGAACCATTAAAGAAAATGGGCCTTAGGCTCATTACTAATAAGATTAATTTAAGAAGTCATATAACAATTTAAGTTGTCACGTAACATAGATCAATATGGATATGGATATGGGTATGGAGCACCAATTTTCTTAAGAAGATAATGTACTAATCTAATTTGGATAAGTCCTGATCCAAATCTGATTTAGATAAGCTCCTAATAGGATTAGGAGAGTTTTACATATAAGGGGGTAAAAGGGAGGGGGCAATTGCACTTAATTGTATAAACCGACTGAAAAAGTCGAGTTGAATTTGAGGCCAATAGAAGTTGATCAATAAAGAGAGAAAACCGCTTTTAAATTTCATTTTATTTAAAATCGGTTTAATCAGTTTTAGTTAAATCGAACTGAAATTGTAGCTTAAAAAGGTCGATGGGTCCAACCTGTACCTATATGCTCCCCACATTTATGACCACTTGTAGTTGGCTAGTTGAATATTGTTAGTCAATCCCTATATAGGTCCAACCTATACCTATAGTTGTCTTGGTTTTCACTCCTACGAATAGACTCACAACATTTTACTTTTTTTGTCAATCCCTATATTTAGTTTTTGTCAATTAGATTTTACTTGTTGTGAAAATAGATGGAGATGATAAAAAAGTAGTGGTTGTCAATCAAAAGTAAAAGAGACGAGAAATTTATAAGATATATGAATTACAAAATGCAAATATGTGTAAATATGCTCGGGTTGGTTTCACATTGAGTTACAAAAAAGCACAACCTTAATCGAACCGAGACATTGGATTTTGCCATTTTTTAAATTGAGACCAATCGAACCATTTTAGAAACTGACAATCTCGGGTCGAGTCGGTTTGGTTTGGTCAGTTTACAACATCTTTTGAACAACCCTACTCCCTTCCCCATTAAATCCCTATTTTCTTCTTAAATATCTTTTAACTCTTTTTAGTTATTTCTAATAAAGCAAGGGTGTAAATTAGATGGATTGAATTAGGTTAATGGCCAACCTAAATATGAACCCTAGATTGGACCAAACTAATACTAATGTCAAAACCCAAAATTGCCCATGAGTACAAGGGGTGAACCAATTTTTCTTCTTATATAAAAGCTTGAAGAAACCATTCTCCTTTTCATGGGTAATTAGGTTTTTATTTATTTTTTATTAATTTAATATAATTTTTTTTCATAAATTCTCCTTGTTCAACAACAAAATGCAATAAGAAAGCACTTACATGAGCCTTTGATTATCTTTGTCATTTTAATTTTAAAATTGTTTTTAACTTGGTTATTCATCTCATCTCATGTTAAGTATTTTTTTTTTGATTTTATAGGGCTACACAACGGCGGGGCGTGGGGGGTAGCCCATCCCCCAAACTCTTAATCATCCAACCTTAGTGGCAGCGGGATTTGATGACAGGTCCTACTAAAACTAGCCAAAGAACCTATAAACTAAACCACCGTAAAGGAAAAGAAAATTATTTTTTCTACTATTTTATATATAATAAACTAAAAATTTATAAAAATTTTGAGTAATCACTATTATTTCATTTTTTCCCCTCAAAAACACATTTTTAGAAGCAGACCATGTCACCCCTAGTTATCACCTAAAAGAAATTCGATCTCACCCAACCAACTCGACTTGTTTGAACCATTTTACCCCAAAAAATTACTTGAGTGGGCCCGGTTTAAGAACTCGGGGGTTGGGTTGTGATTTGTTTCTTTTCCAGCATTGCAGATTGCACTTGCACAGCTATCATCTCTCATTTCACCAATAATCCCTGCAGGAGCACTCCCCGTTCTTGAAACAGTGAAACCTGTTGTTATCTCTCACAATGATCTCCCTTCCCTCCAACTTTGATATCATCTTAATGGCGAAATGACAATCTCCACACACCCGTAGGTTTTTCACCACTCTGATCATAGCTCCCACTTCACTGACTAGAAGTCCAAACCCAATGGCCAGCTTCTCACTGTGAGTTCCAACCATCTCCTCTTTCTCTTCCTCCTCCACATCTCTCAACACATAGCACTTATCAGCTACATATCCAGCATCTCTCATCTTCTTCCTCAGTTCTTCCAACAACCTGTAAATCTGATCAGAGAGCTTGTGTGAACGATCTCCAGCTATGAATCGGTGTAATTTGCCGCCAAACTCCACCCAACTCCACCCAGTTGTCTTTTGCACTCCCCGCGCTCTCATTGTGCCTCTGACTCTTTCTACATCTTCCCACTTCCCAAGTGATGCATAGATGTTTGAAAGCAAAACATAGTTCCCTGAGTTCTCAGGTTCAAGCTCGAAGAGATTGCATGCAGCAATCTCCCCAAGATCAACTCGCTTGTGGATGCGGCAAGCATTGAGAAGCGCTCCATAGACTCCTGCATGTGGCTTTATCGGCATTGTGTCTATCAATCTCTTTGCTTGGTCAAGCTCACCAGCTCGGCCTAACAGATCGACCATGCAAGCATAATGATCTACTGATGGACTCCTTATGGACTCGAAAATTTTCTGGCCTTCCTTTGCTAATCCTGAATGACTGCATGCTGTTAACACACCAATATATGTTATCCGGTCTGGTTCTATTCCTTCATTTTTCATCCTCAAAATTAATTCATTGGCCTCAGTTCCATGGCCATGGGCTGCAAACCCAGCAATCAATGAATTATAGGAGATTAAATCTCTTGTTGGCATGTCTTGGAAAATCTTCTTGGCATCTTCCATGCTACCACATCTTGAGTACATGGAAATAAGAGCATTATAGCCTGAGTTGCTCAATTTGATGCTGTTTTCTTTGATAAATGACAAAACCCACTTACCCAACTCAAGAGCTCCTAGATGCCCACAAGCTGATATGACACTCACCATTGTCACTTCATCTGGTTTCAACTCTTCCTTTGTTGTCATTTCTTTGAAGAGCTCAATGGCCATAGCTGACTGCCCATTTTGAGCATAGCCTGCAATCATCGAATTCCATGAGACCACATTCCGTTCTGGCATCTCATAGAAGAGCTTGCTTGCTGAAGTGAGATCACCATTCTTTGCGTATGCCGAGATCATTGCATTCCAAGAAACCTGATTCTTATATATCCCCATCTCATCGAAAATGTTCCGTGCCGTTTCAAGGCTCCCACATTTTGCATACATATCAAGGAGCGCTGTCTTGACAAAGCAATTTAGACGAATCTTTCTTCTATCAAGTGAACTCACAAGTGATTCTGCAAGTTGAAGATCTCCGCGTGCTGAACATGATGAAATAATGGTGACCCATGTGGTCTCATCAGGTTGAAGTCCCGCATCAATCATCATATCAAACAACTTTAAAGCTTCTTCTGCAAATCCATTCTGCACATAACCCGAAAGCATTGCATTCCATGAGACTACATTCTTCTCTGGCATTTCATCAAAGAACTTCCGTGCTTTCTCCAAATCACCAAACTTAGCATAACCACTAACCATTGCGGTCCAAGAGATGATATTCCTTTCAGGCATCAAATTGAAGAGTTCAAAAGCTTCAGCTTCATGGCCCCATTTCCAATACCCAGATATAATCGAATTCCAATCCACAATTGTCTTATTGGGCATTTCATCGAACAATACTCGAGCATGTTCAATAGGTCCATGCTTGGCAAACATATCCATGATTGCATTCCGGACGTACTGGTCAGAACCGTGACCCAATTTTAACACAAGGGCATGGAGTCCAGTGGCTGCCTTTCCGGCTGACTTGATCAAAATTGGGTACACAAATGCATCAGGTCTCACATCACACCGCCGCATCCGGTCGAACAGTGTGAAAACATCATGGTGGGCTCCCCATTGGGAGTAAAATTTGAGCATAGAGGTGAAGACAAAAACATTTGGGCGAGGCACAGAGTCGAAGATGAGACGGGTGTAGGCCAAAGGCGCGTGGATTCGCGTGCATTGGCCGATAAGCAAGGCCACCCAATAGTTGTGGTGCTGGAGGGAATGTTGGATAATCTGTGCATGGAATTGCCTCAGCTGGTTCAAACTGTGAACATTGCATGCTATTGTGTCTAGACGTGACATGAAACTGCAGCGAAACCAACATTACTACTTCATGACCCCGTCAAACCGTCCACATTACATTAAGAAGTGATAGTTGCAGGATTCCAAGTTTCAAGCCATCAGAATTTCCTGCCTCAATCCAACTCGACCAAAATTCAGAGCTTTTCAGGCGAGAAAGTAGTAGATTCTTCTTTGTCAATTGTCAAGGACAACTAAGGGTAATCTTGAAAGTGGACAAGGGCAAAACAGTCATTTCGGCTGGAACCCATTTGATAGTTTGATAAATGCTACGGAGTCTGGTTGGCCCTGGTTTTTAGAGACTAATCTTTGATCTCCGTGTTCTTCTCCCTGGCTCTCTGTTATGCTCCTTTAACGCAATTCGTGTTTATGGCTCAAACCCTTCTGAAGTGGGTTGGTACCTCTTCAAGGTTATTTGGTTCTTTCAAACCAGCGCTACACACGCATGGGCTTCAGGTTCAGGTTCCGTTCCAACGACAAATCAAGGCATTCACTTTGTCCGATAGAGGTGGTGGTGGCGCTGGTGGTTACAGTGGTCGGGATTTTCTGGCGTTGTCGGACGAACAACTGATGGGCCAATGCGAGATGGATACGTTCAAGGCGTCCGGTCCTGGAGGTCAACACCGCAACAAGCGAGAGAGTGCCGTCCGACTCAAACACGTACCTACTGGCATAGTAGCTCAGGTCATCTCTCTCTCTCTCTAACTGAAATAACTGTTCAGAGTATGAAATTGACTAAAATGCCCATGTAAGTGACAATGATTTCCTCCATGGCCTCCCAATGCTGGTTTGGTGGCAGGGGAGGAAGAACTTGCTTCAGAGAGTATGTTACAATGGGCAACAATGTTGTGCAGATCAAGGGTGAAAATTTGGTTTCTACTTTGAATAGCTATTTGCTGCCTCTTAAGTCAACTCGTCATGGATGGATATTTTTCAATCATTTATAAACCATATTGATAGGCCTTATTGATATTTTGGGAGGGAGACTGATATCGTATCCCTTCTAGCATAGCAATTAGCATGAGCCATGAGGAATGCTAGCCATTGCCATTGGGGACCATTGAATCATACAAACCTTTCATGTCATGGTTTTTCCATGCCCTGATAAACTGGTTTGGATTTATATTTTTGTATGACCATGACCCCATTTACCAGTGACAATCCATTGTCTTTGGGTCCAATAACGTTGAGACTGGATTGTTATTGCTATTATATTTATCTCAATGGGCTGCAGTCTATAAACCTTGTATAGTGACAGTAGCCTTGTAATTTTGTTGATGAAGCTGGTGGTTGATGATTGTGCATTAACAGTGGAATTCTTTTTGGTTAAAGTTATCTCATTCTCATTTGGAGAAGAATGTTGTATTTATAGATATGTTCAGGAGTTTGTTGCAGCAGTAAGATTACAGATTACAGGTAGAGTTCAACAACTGTAAAACCTAAAAAACTAGGAGACCTTTATCATGTTGCTCACGTGTGGTTTGACTTAGTTGAATTGTTGAGATCTATGAGTCTTGCTTACATGCCCCATAAAACTGAACTCGCCAGCAAGAACATTAGTTTGGAGTAAAATTGATTGAACTTGGGACCTGATAAAGGTTTTGTTAACATTTCAGCAGTTTGATCTTGTGTTAAAAAGTAGTGGACTCCAAAACTTTTCTTGAGTGGCATGTCATGAATGAAGTGCAGGTTAATTTCCAGATGTTTTGTTGTTGCATGAAATATAGGGTTTGCAGCAAGGTAATTAGCACAGTTGCACTAATGTTGTCACACCAGACAGAGATAATAGATACTTTACTATAAAGAAACCCAAGTTCATGTAGGAGGCTAGATCCAGATGATTTTGGTTGCAGTGTTGACAAGGGCTTTCTGTTCAGCCTAAGTGCTGGAATGGGCAACCATGTTTTGTTTGTGGGCATCCAATAGATTAAATTTGGACCCAAGTGTAAATCCACCTATTGATTGATGGTTAACAGGAGATCCTGCTCAATCTGCATCCAGGAATGTTTGTTAGTGTGTTGAGGAGGATGATTTGAGAAATATACCTTGAGTTACAGAATGTTTTATATGGCACAAAACACTTTTCATGGCTGACCAATGCTTGGAGGTAGGACAATAAATTGACAAAGCTTGTATACTGTAAATGAAATGTATGGACATGTAAGAGCGATGTATTTGGAGAGCCCCAGTGATGCTTCTGAATTCACTTATCAGTAAGTGGATCACCCAATTACCTGGATAGTTTACATAACAATGCCATTGGAAAATGACTGGTTTTGTATGGCGAAGATGAGTGCACTTCAAGAGATTGACAATGTATTTCTGTCGAGTGTGTGTAACATTGTGAGACCAAGATGGTATCATGGTAGTGGTGTTGTTCAGTTGTTCTGTAGATGAACAGGGATAAAACAATTTTTGAACCGTGAACCCGAAATCAAGTGGATGAACAGAGGTGGAAGAACTAGGCATAAGGTGCTTGTTTATACCAATACAAAACCTTGTTGAGTTTGCAGATATCTGAGAAAGTGAGTATCAGTGAAACCGGCTGGGTGTGTCATATATATGTCCTCGGGAAGGACACCATGAGGGAATGCGTTTGATATATCTAGCTGGTGGATGTGCCGTTTTAGGGATTCTGCAATTGCCAAAGTAGTGTGAACGGGGCTTTAACCAATGACTTATTATAAAAAAATGGGGCTTTAACCAATGATTTATTATAAAAAAATGGGGCTTTAACCAATGGATGTTTTGTATCAGCAGCCAAAGCAGAGACTAAAAAATATAGCAGATATATATCCCATTATTGAGAATGCTTCCATAGCTACATCATCCACTACTTAAGGTACTCAAGCTTTGCTTATGTTGCCATTGCTGGTAAGTCCATTTCTTGGATTGTAGATTTAGGTGCATTAGATCACGTGCTTAGTATTTCCTCCTTATTTCATACTTATTCTTTGTCTTCGGGTAGGGATAAAGTTTTTACTGCTGATGGGTCTCTTGCTCTTGTTTTTGGGAAAGGTGATCTTAGGGTTATTGACTCTTTAAGCTAATAATCTATTTTATATGTTCCTAAGCTTAGTACAACCTTGTTATCAGTTAGTAGTATTACTAAAGCTCTTTAGTATTCAGTGACTTTCTGTCCTGATCATTGTGTTTGCCAGGACATTGCTTTCAAGAGATGATTGGGAGTGGCCATGAGCTGGAAGGTATTTATCTTCTGGATGTTGGATCTTCACCTTCTCTTAGTTCAAGTCATCCTAGTCATTGTGGTCATAGTGTCTCGTCAAAGTCTGTGGATCAGATAATGCTTAGGCATATCCAACTTGATCATTTGTCCTTATTTCTTTGAAGACATTACTTTTTTTTTTGATAAATAAATTTCATCAATTTTCTTTGAAGACATTGTTCCCTTTCTTGTTTCAGTGAGTTGATATGTTGAGTCTTTGTCAAACTCTCAAAGCATTGTAGAAACATTTAAATTTCAAGCAATAAAAGAACTGATTTACCTTTTGATATTATTCATACTGATTGAATGGGTGGATATCAATATTTGTTGGACGTTGTGGATTGTTTTTTCATATCTCTTGGATATATTTGAGGCGTTCTATGAATGGAGTACCCCAATTAGTTCAACAATTCCATCAAATGGTTTTGACTTAGTTTGGTGTCAGGAGCAAGGTATTTTGCTCTGACAATGCTAAGGAGTACTTTGAGAAAAAATTTCTCTTCTTACATGAGTTTATGGTGCTATCAATCAGAGTTCTTATGCCTATATTCTGCAACAAAATGGAGTTGTAAAGCATAAAAATAGACACATTCTTGAGGTCTAGAAGGGAATTATGTACAGTACTCGTATTCCTATTTGGTTTTGGGGTGATGTTGTGTGTACTACTGTCTTCCTTATTAATAGAGTCCCTTCTCGTGTTCTTGGATTTAAAGCTCCCTTTAGTTCTTTCTTTTCCAGAGATGATCTGTTTCCTATCCCTTGTCATGTGTTCAGTTGTACATAATTTGTTCATATTCTTAGTACTCATTGTTCCAACTTTGATCCCAAATCTATCAAATTTGTGTTCTTGGGTTATGCATCTGATCAAAAGGATATTGTTTCTTTGATCCCATTTCTAGAAGGAGGTTTGTATCTATGGGTGTTCCATTTTTTGAATCTACTCCTTCTTTACAGGGGGAGACTGCTCCTTTTGCTCTTTTTCACCCATCTGCTCCTTTACCTTCTTCACATCCCACTCCTTCGTGTATTCCTAAGCCATCCATTACCTTGCTTGTTAGTGAATTCAAGACTCTCCAGTGAAAGAGGAAGGCACTTTTCATAGCACAACCACTTCAGATCTCTTCGTACGATGCGTGTTCCTCTCACCATGTTGATCCCATTCCTCTTTTAGTTTCAACTGCTTCTAATGTTTTTGAGATTTCTGCTAGTCCTCCACTAGATCCTCTTGAGATGCATGTTGACTCACCTTCTAACCTTGATCTTCCTATTGCCTTACATAAGGATAAGCATAATTGTACCATTGCTCATAGCATTTCCCATCATATTTCTTATGACTACTTATCTCCCGCATATAAGTCCTATCTTGCTTTTGTTGCATCTATTTCTATTCTACGGAATGTGGTTGAAGCAGTGCAGCAACCTGAGTGGAAAACATATATGCAAGTAAAGATGAATGTCTTACTAAAGAGTAAAACATGGGATATTGCTAAGTTGCCAGAAGGGAAGACACTTGTTGGTGTAAGTGGGTGTTTAAAGAAGTATAGGGCGGATGGTAGTATAGAAAGGTACAAGGCAAAGCTTGTTGCTAAGGGCTACACTCAAACCTATGGATTGACTATGAGGAGACTTTTCTCCTGTCGCCAAAATGACATCCATCAGAGTTCTCTTGTCCCTTGCAGCTCATTACTCTTGGTCTCTCTATTAATTGGATGTTAGGAATGCTTTCCTCAATGGTGACTTTCATGTGGAAGTGTATATAGATATATCCCCTGGCTTTTATAAGCATCTACTCAGGGGGAGTGTGTGTAAGCTCAAGAAAGCTCTATATGGCCTCAAACAATCTCCTCTGGCATGGTTAGACAGGTTTTGTTGGTGCCTTGAAAAAAAGTTATGGGAGATGGAGAATTCAAAAAGGGACCACCCATTACCACTTCTATCACAATGATGTATGGTTTGACTAGGTTGAATGTTAAGATCTTGAGTCTTGCTTACACTTTTGACCCTTATTCGTGTTTTTTGAATCAAGTTCTTTTTCCATTGTTTTGAGGGAGTGAAACAATTGTTTTTTTTTTCTTTTTTTGTTTCAGTGAAGCTCATTGGATGGTGATATTATATTTATTTCGTTTGGTTCCATGTCTTGTACAGGCTGTTGAGGACCGCTCACAACATAAGAACCGTGCATCGGCATTAGCTCGTTTGCGCACTTTGTTAGCTCTTAAAGGTTATCCTTAACTTCTTCTGTCAGTATGAAATGCCAAATAAGTAGTATCTTTTACAACTGGAATTAGCCACCAAGACTTGATGTAGAACTTCTTACGGGTTATTAGTTGTATGTGATGCAAATCACAATTTTTTGTTCTATTGGTAATGATATGCAAATAATGAACAGTTGTGAATATTAGGGGTAGCTTGGATATCCTTATACGAAACTTTATGCAGAATTCTTTGATATGATTCTATGCCATTCTTCCTTGTATTCTCCCCTAGAAAATGCAACTTTGAGTGAGGTAGATGTTTCTTATTAGTTTTTATAGATGAGATGAGAAATTTCTTAAGCATTACTAATAAGACTGGTGATATAAATTTCATGGTTAGCATATTAAAGTTGGTATATTTTGTCATTTATCTGTTCTGTTACATTTTGTCTTTCATGCAAAGTGTAGAAGGGCCATTACCCAATGTTGGTGGGAGGGGGGGGGGTACTAGATAGGAACCAAGCAATGGCTCCTGTCATTCCTGCAAAGGGTTCTTGTGTAAATGAATTCAAGGAGTTATATTTACTGAAAAGAAATCCTTAATTTATCTAATTACCTTTCAAGCAAATGAGGAAGTTTGAGAGGGATATCTTGGCACTATTATTATTTTACCTTAAGAGTGTTGTAAAACAATATACCCTGTTTAAGGTGAGATAGATTTTTAGAAACACACATAAGAGTGACAATACGATATGTCTATTTCTACTACCTCCTTCTTTTTAATGCTTTTTATCATATTTATCTGACTAAAGAAAATAGTTACCAGCAATGAGGGAGGGAGAGGCAAACAAGATTGCCAACTGTTGAGAGATTATTTAAAGGCAATTACCCAATGTTGGTCCCAGCTATTCTGAGGTCTTGGGAGTATTTAGTACTGATTATTTCTACCGTTTGGTATTTATTATTGCTGCTGTATTTTCTCTTTTCCTATTTAGAGAATCATATGTGCAGGGGTAAGGCTGTGTACATCTGTCCCTCCCCAGACCCCGTATTGGCAGGAGACTCATGCACTGGGTTGCCCTATTTAGAGAACCATATGACAAGGATATTCTGGTCATTTTTACTACAATGTATTAGATGTTGATGCCTCATACTTTTTGGCTCTCTTAATATACCTCTCTTCTTTCTCTTCTCTTCTATTTTCCTCTAAATCTGGAACTGACTACATTAGAAAATTAAAACAAGTTGCTATTAGAGCATAAAGGTCTTGGTTGTACTTGTTCTTCTCCAGGATAAAACTCATGTAGTCTTAGGATCAGCAAACTGCATGGAATGTTGGAGGAACTGATCATTTCAATGTTGATTGCTTGGTTTTAGGAGGAATTTTGGAAAACTAAATGAAGGTAGTTGATGTTCAAGAAGAGTTCTTGAATATTTTTCCAAAAGCTCAATAAAACAAAGAAAGTTTTCTGCAATAGTCTTGAGTGGGTTCTGCATTGGTTCTCAGGTTTCTCTACATTAGTAGTGACATCCTAAAGTGAGTGATTGCAACTTGGAGGTTCTAGGGAGTTTGGACTGAGTCTCCCATCCCCTTTCTCCAACTTCTCTTAGTCTCAAGAAGGATGATTGTCTACATTTTGTGTTGAGGGTTGTGGTTTCTCCAAAGATTTGATTTTTGAGATTTCTTTTTTAGTCTGTTTTTTTTTTTTTATCAGTAAGAGAAAGATTTTATTAATATCAATATCAAGTATTACAATAGGTGGCAATTCCACCCTAGAGACACTCTTTATAATTTATAATTTTTCCCAGAACATTTGGTGTCACGCTGTCCCTTGTTTGGCTAATACATCTGCCATCCCATTTGCTGTTCTTCTCACCCAATTGAAGACAACATTCAGCTCCCGTGATAAGCTTTCTATTTCCCGAAAAGTATGTCTATAGACCCATGGGATTTAGGAACTACCTCTTGTCCATGAAATGGCCACCTGTGAGTCCCCTTCCACCTCCAAGTTTTGGAAACCGAAACTGCTTAGCAAATATTAGCCCATGAGTAATCCACACAACTTGGCTTTCAATGCATTACCGTCTATTAGTGGCCCTGAATACAATGCTAATATCTTTCCTTCCAAGTCCTTGAAAACCCCTCCCAACCCTGCCACAACCTGACTACCAATGTAACTCTCATAAAAATTTCGTTTGACAAAGTTGGTTGTTCGGGGTCTCCATTCCATATTTACTCTTTCCCTGGCTTGAGCCGAAGAAGCCACTTCCTTCCAAGTTCTCAAAATGTCATTTGTTGAGAAACCTTGGAAATCCTCCATGGTTTTCACCCAATGTGCAACTTCAATTTTTTCCACATCCATGACTTCCATTTCTGATCAAAATTTTTTTTTTTTTTCATTAAAGATCCTCCTGTTCCTTTCTTCCCATACAGTTCATAACATGGAGGCTCTCACTGCTTTCCACAAAATTCTTCCCCTTTTTTTTTGGTTGTCTCAGGAAATTTGGGTCAAAGAGACCCACCACATCCTTAGGAGGAGTCCGCCTGCACCCAAAGAGAGAACAAAGCTCCTCCCAAATACAAAGTACAAATGGACAGGATAAAAATATATGGGAAAAGGTTTCACCATTGCTCTTACACAAAACACATGTCCGGAGAAAGGCCTTTGTTTGGCCTTATTTTTTGCAGCATATCACAAGTGTTAAACTTTCCAAGGAAAACTTCCCAACAAAGTGCCTGGATTTTAGGAGGGATTGGCTTACTCTAAATTTCTTTCACTGGGAAATTTACCCCCATGGTTGTAGGCTGAACTAAGAAGTTGAAAAAAGAAGCACAAGTGAAAGTACCATATGAAGTGATAGACCAAACCCTGTTGTCCTCTACATTTTGATCCAAGGAGGTAAGTCAAGGTTGGTCAAAAGGGGAATGAGAGGTTCACATTCTGTTTCCCTCATGCCCCTTATAAAACCAAAATCCCAATTTATGCCCGATGTAGAGAAGCTCACAAGCTTAGAGATGGGTTCAAATTTGTAACTTGATAGTGCATAAAGCGCAGGAAATTGGACCTTTAGTGGTTGTGCACCTATCCAAAGGTCTTTTTTAGTTTGAGTTTTCAAAAATTGTATTTGGAAAAGTGTGGCGAATTTATTTGGAGGTAATTCCAAGTAGGTACTAGGTAGTTAATGCCTAGGTTAACTATGGGAGTCTTGGGGGGACCCTTGGTTTAAGTTTAATGGAAAAATATATCTTGGTTGGTGAATTTTATGCAATCCCACCTTAGTAGAAATTAGGTATGTAGTCGAGCCAAGCCAAGTTGAACTTTGGCATGTCTTGACTCAGTTTGACTAATATACTACTATGTTTGAGTTTGATTTGAACTCTATTTATCGGTTCGAGCTTGACTCAGTAAATATTCGATGAGTTCGAGCTCGGCTCGAAAGCTAAAATCCTAATATATTTTTATATTTAATAAATATAGATAATATACTTTTATATTCTATAATATATTATAGAATATAAATATATCCTTTCTCCCCTACCATTTATCTATTTTGTGGTTTTTTTGAATTTTTATTTTTAAATTGAACAAAATTACTCAAAGTAGCCAATCAATTTTAAGTCTTCAAGATTTTCATTCCTCATTGACTCACCATTAACTCTTTATTCTCTTTCTTATTAACTCCTTTGATTATCTCTCCTCATTAATCATTCCATTAACTCTCTCGCCTCCTATAACTCACTCCACTAATTCTCTCTTCTCTCAGTTACTCCATTAAATTGCTTAAAATACATTTACTCCTTTTCCTTTTTATCTTTTTTTCCCTTTTTTATTTTATTCTCCCTCCTCTCATTAATCTGATAAACCAAAAGTAGTTTGCTTAGTGGTGATCATTTCAGTCTGGCCTATGCCCGGATCTGCATTAGGCCCACAAATTTCAAGGCTTGTGTGGGCCCGGCCCAGATTGTAAACAAATAATGGATTAACAATTAGTTAATGAAAATATCATAAACACTCAGATCACCTAAAAAAAGGTAGAGAGAGTTCTAAGGCATAGGTCCCACCCCCTTGCATCACTAACCTATTTTAGCATATTTCTATAGGCCTCTTCCATTATTAATTAGCCTATTGTATTCCAAAGAGAGAGAATTTTACTATTATCCAAATTCTATTTATTTGGTTAATTGTCAAAAAATTACAATTTGAAACCAAATAACTAAAAGTTAATAAAAATATTAAATTTTAGCAAGTTTTTATCTAGAAACTATTAAAAATTAAGAAATTAATAAAAGTTAGTAGTTCATAAATAAAAAATTAAAATACATTTGAATTCTATTTAAAAATAATTATAATTAATAGGATAATTAGAATCAATAATAAAAAGTAAAAAAAATATTAAAAGTAATAAAATAAACCATTTGCATTCCATATAAAAATTATAAAAATTAATTAAAATAATAATAATGGCCCAATTAGAAATGTCATAAGACTCCTCTTACTCAGGGATGATCATTTATAACTTCGAGCAACCCAACTATACCTACAAATTTCTAGGTTCAACCAACTATTTTCTTTTGAGCTAGGTTTACCTCATATTTACACCAAGCCCACACATAATGCGGGTAGTAGGGCTGTAAACAGGTCGTATTCATATTCAATCTTGTTGCATCCACATCCGTATTCAATTATGAAATCTCTAGATTCACATCCACATCTGAGTATTATATCAGATATTGGATATGGATTTAATGCGCAACCAAAAGAAAATATATGTATATATGTATAATAAATGACCAAAAAGTTAAAAAAGTTTTAAAAAACTTATTATTTTTAAAGTATATATGTATAATAAATGTATATAAATATAAAATATTAAATTTTATCAATTATAAAATTTATATAATTATACATAATATCTATATGTATACATTACTACATATACATAAAATAATAATTTTTTATTGGACTTGGACTTTAGTCGGATTGGATGGGGTTAAATCTGCATCTGATACAATTATTAATTGGAT